ATCTGTGGTTAAGAATACTTTGAAAGCTGTGCGGACAAGGCTATGCACAAGATGGAGTGGAACACAGGAAATGAAGTGTACCCAGGCCTTTAGGGCTAGGAGTTCCACACAGTAATAGTGCAAGCACAACACAATATAAGAAACAACAACAGAAAAAAAAGAATCAATCAAAAGGTGGCACTACACCCTGCACCTCATGCTTGTGAACACAGCTGTTTTCCTCCCAGTCTCCCAAAAGCTGAAAACTTGATTAGAGCCACTTCATGTCAGAATCAATGCAGCAATGGATTTTTAGATTCTACACTAATAGCACAGAATAACAGTCTGTAGAGAGAGATGGACACTCCTTTGTGTCCAACTACTCCATTCCTGTGTTGAACTCTTTTTAACTATTCTTCTGTCCAAGAGAATGAAGAATGAAGAAACAAAACAACGAACAGAAACAAACGCCATCAAAATAGAGTAAGGATTAAAGTTGGACTAAATTTCTGTTATTGACTTAAATTTGTGAAGTGGAAATATATGAAGAGTTCAGATGCAAAATCCTCTAAGTGCTGTGAAATATATATATATATATATATATATATATATATATATATATACATAGTCAATAAAACTCGTGCAGTCAAAGTCTTCTGAAACCATGCAATAAGTTTGTGTGAGGTATTATTTTAGTATAATTTATTTACTATAATTTTTTCTTTTTGTCCTTTTTATTAGTTTTTTATATTATTATTTAGGTTCAATTAAAAAACATTTTTTTTTATTATAGTTAATAATTTTGGTGCTCACACATTCATTTAGTTGACATCAATTCTAATTTCCATTTAGTTTAAGTTTTTCATCTAATATTTACATTTTATTTTAGCTTTATTTCAATTAACACATTTAAAAAACAATTATTGTAGTCAATGATAATAACCCTGTTATGATTAACAGACCAATATTTAAATCCCACCCTTTGTTGTAGACCTCAAATTTCTTAGCGCTATTTAAATTGACTGTTTTGTGATATTGCATTGAATATGCAAACATGAAAGAGATCTGAAAGGCGTTATGGAAGAATTTTTACTGAATAACAGCCTGTTCTTGACAGAAAGCCACTGCATGGCTTCACAAGACTTATGGATTTTATTTATAGTACTTTTTTGTCCTTCATGGAGCTCGACTCCTTTGACAAAATTACAAATGTAAAAACCAACTCTCCACTGTAAATAATCTTTAGCTAAAGTCCTGGCTTAAGAGCGTCATTGAAACTCTTCCTGCAGGCACTGTGAACCTACATGCTCAACAGGTCTGATCTGTAGAACAAAAGCAGAGCCAGGGCGGTCAGGAAATGCTTTAGGAGGTTATTATATAGATAATTATCACTCAACTTTAACCAGTCCAACTGGACATTATGCTAAGGGGTTTTATTCAGCTTCAAAAGAACAATTGCATTGTTTAACACAATGATTTTGATAATTCAATAGATCTGAGGAAAATGTATAAAACGTTTCGGCGTGATTCAGAAAACTTTACAGATTTGGCTCACAAATAAAAGTGCATGGGAAACTCAACACACATCTGACTTCAAAAGAGCCTGACTTTAGCATGTTGCTAAGAAATCAACACAACTCCTACTAAACTACATAGTACACATAATGGTTTTAGTCCATTTGTAATGGGAATGCAATAGATTCACTGATTTTGGTAGTGAATCAATTAAATATATTATGAACATATTTATGATCAATCTTTCTTAACCCATTGTTTTTGTTTTACACAAATAATTTAAGGACAAAACAAGAAAACAAATTGCCAGTGGGGTAAGACAAATACAAATAATTCAAGATATATTGCATATAAATGTATCTTGTTTTAAGGATTTTTTTTAAAGGTACTTGTTGAGAAATTCCTTTTCAAGTGTAAATGATTATTTGACTTTCCCCTGACACTGCCACGGGAAGTGACACATCCTAGTTAATGTTTCCAGGTGGACTTCAGACACACTAGAGCATAAAAAAAATTACAGACACACAATGTTTCCACTAGGGTGCTCAATTTAATATGCTTAATCTAAAATACATACAATGATATCATTAAAAATGTTTGTATACTATTACTTTTTTGTATTATTTAAATACTATTTTTTTATATTTTGAAATTGAATATTTTTAAGTTATTTCAGCTGAAAATGTCAGTTATTTTGTTATGTGCTTTTTGTCATTAAATTTTTTGTTAATAATAATGATAATACACTTCTATTTAGCTTTATTTCATTTGAGTTTTAGTGCTTCATTTCAGCTTTATTTCAAATAGTGACACTGATTTTTAATCATTTTAGATGACAATAACAACATACATCAAAACTCAAGTGCAAAATACAGCAACTTTATTTTTGGCTATCATATCTATTCAATGATTTACTCATCTGCCACAATAATATCTTAAATTATCTTGATTATATTTGATTATTCTCATCAAATATTGATAATTATAATTCATTCTAAGGCTCAGACTGTAACTAATTCATTAAATGTTTTTTTTTTTATTAAATTTTTTTTTTTAAATCGTCAGCTCTATAGTTTCCACATGCACATGTAAGAATGTATGTGGGAAGACATTCATTTGTATGCTGGTGTGAACATATGGTGAGACATACACACATGCCACACACACACACACACACACACACACACACACACAGTGACAGAAGGTAAGGACATCTGATCTGGTAGACTTAGACATTATCGTGTAGTGCTGAGGGTAATCTCAGTCAGTCTACAGATTACACTTAAAGACCCTCACACACACACACACACACACACGACACACACACACATGCACACGCACACAATCATTAGAGAAGTGTATGAGTGTGTGTGATCATATTAATGACTGAATGTTACAGCTGTTTTAATGCCCAGCAGATTCACAAAGCATGTCTCAATATTTTTTGCATTTGATCAACTAGAAACAGCATCAAATAATAGTTTGTCTCATTTTTTAGTATGTTAATTATAGTCGTCTTCACCATGACTATGAATGCTGTGACAGATGTATGTTCTCTCTGGAGAGGTTTTGTGCCTGGTCAAGTGTGTTTGCATGGATGTGTGTGTTATCAAGCAGTAGAGGATTTGGCGGCAGTTACACAGCTCAAAATATTTCACGACCCCCTGCTACTGCATGGCCCTTGAGCTCCAGAGGAGGGAGCAGATGGCCGTGTTTGGCCCAGGGCGGAGAGCCCAGACCTGGGGAGACAGTCCTGGCACAGGCCTGCTCCAGAGCTGTTTGCTAAACCGAGACATCGTGTGATCAAAACCCCTGAGAGACTTTATTAGCTGGCCACTAGAGTGGGGAACATATCCAGGGAGGCATATGAGTGCAAACGGACAAACACAAACACACGTTCAACTATACTGCCGTTCAAAATTTGGGATCAGTAAGATTTTTAATGTTTATTAAATTAATTAAGAATTCATATTAAATTTATTCAGACACCTTCAAAATCTCTCACATTATCACAGTTTATTCGCTATAGTTAAACTGTGTCAATACAAATTCATCTTGATAATGTCAGATAACTTTGATAGAAATATATGTAACAAAACATGGTCAGGTCAAAGTGTCAAATCCAATTTTTGGCCCCAATTTGATTTATGTTGTAATCAATTTTACTGGTAGTCCACTTTATGAAGACTTTTTGGGTATAATATGTCACAATTTACTTTATTTTGCTATCCTCACTTAAATGAACTATAGTGTCCTGCACCCACTAGTAAAAAACATAAAAAATGATATCTGGTGTCTGAATATTTTTTGGTTTGACTGTATATTGTCACAATATTGTTGTTATGGAGACGAAGGCACGACGGAGATTATAACAACAAATCCTTTTAATGGTAATCCACACGATGAAGAGAGTCTAACACACAGGGTAACATTAAACAATACCGGACAATGGAAGACAGGACAGACTACACTTTAAATACGGGAACAAATGAAGATAATTAATGACACACACCTGAACTAAATGACACAGTCAAACATGAGGGAAACACAGAGCACATGAGGGATGAAAACAGAACAAAAGTCCAATGGGGTGTAACATATATATTGATAAAACATGTATATGTTATTGTAATTGATAAAAAGTGACCGTAAAGATTTATATTGTTACAAAAGATTCCTATTTAGAATAAATACTGTCCTTTTGAACATTTGATTAATCAAATAATCCTAAAAAAAGAATCACAGGTTACAAAAAAATATTATATATATATATATATATAGATTTCTGAAGGATCATGTGACACTGAAGACTGGAGTAATGATGATGAAAATTCAGCTTTGCTTCACAAGAATACATTACATTTAAAAATACACTGAATTAGAAAATAGCTATTTTAAACAATAATAATATTTCACAATATTACTATTGTACTGTGTTTTTGATTAAATAAATACAGTCTTGGTGTGCTTCAGAGATATCTTTCAAAACATTAAAAAAATCTTATCAACTCCAAACACTTGAATGGTAGTTTACACACTATAATACACACATATATATATATATATATATATATTGTTTGAAGCCACATTCACTCAGTCTGGGGTGTGACCATGGAAACTGGGCCCCGAGAGCCATTTCTATAGCACCTCAATGGCTTCGGAGGTGCCCTAAGGGAAGCGTACGGCTTCTCTCTCTTTATCTTACTTACCATCACAAGAGACACATCACCCACACTTTACACATGCTCCACACACACACACCTAACTGCTTTTCATTCCAGCCCTCGGGGCCCAGGGGATGCCAGGGGCCCCAGAGTGATAAACTACTAGCTACAGGATCCAAACAGACACAAACACACACAGAGCTACACCAACATACACATGTCAGCCAAACTCTAACGCAATAAACCAGATGAAGTGTTTAAGAGAGTCACATCAGGGTAAAGCCATCCGTCTGTGTGACTCCCCGTGATTCAATCAAAGAGTCAGACGCAGTGGCTCAGGAAATCAGTGATTCATCAGTGTGACTCCAGCAGTCAGTCAGTTTGTCAGAGATTCATTGAGTCTGAAAGCGTCAGTGTGGATGAGTGTCTCACCTCCAGTAAACGAGGACGGCCAGCAGCAGAATGAGGCAGAGGAAGGTGAGCGCCGACACCACCACCAGAGGAATAATCCACTCCATCCGTGCTGAAGCAGGCACAGGGTGCATGCTGGAGACTATGGTGCGCTCTGAAACACACACACACACACACACACACACACACACACACACATGCACACACATAACTATCAACACATCGTACAAATATCAAATAGAGGCTGTGTTTCAATACCTATTTAGCCTACAATTATTATTACTATCATCGCTAATATTTATTCTTAGCAATAATACACTTGCAGTAATTTCATAAAATTACATTATTACATTTTTCACAATATAATATTCAGTTAAAATTATTGTCAAATATAGTTCTGGTTACCACTATTTTGCCAAGTAAAATGTGTTCTAGAATGCTAGATGAATTTGTTTAGTTTGCCCTAGAACATTCCAGTGAAAGGTTGTCCTGATCCTGACAATAAAGCATCCTTTAAGTCCAGAGAGAATTGCCCAGTCCTAAGCTGAACTCTGACTCCTTCCCCAAAAAACCTGATTGGTTGATAGGAATGCTGTTCCAGGACTAACGAGGATGTTGATTCAGGAACACGTCCCACTTGGCAAGATCACGGTCACCCTACCAGTCTACAGCTAACACACACACACACACACACACACACACACACACACACACACACAAAACCAAACATACCAGTGTCCCAAATTGTCAGCGGAAACCACAGACTCAGATCCCGAACATAAGAACAGAGTGATTAGAAACCTGCAGCCCCCCTCGGGTGGTCCAGAACAGCATGCTACTAACTAATCCATGCTGCTACAGCTTCAGCACGGTCAGACACAGACCCGCAGTCACGCAAGGAACAGCACTCACACACACACACACACACACACACACACAGGATGAACATAACTCCAGTGCCATAGAGCTAAATATGGAGTTTCTCTGTTTCTTTCTTGTTTTTTTTTAACTCCCTGCAGCTGAAAATGTTTTCTGCTTTCATCCTCTCTGGACCGGAAAACTAGGCCAATCCTCTGCCTCCGAAACAAATAGAGGGGACGGAAAGCAAGATGGAAGGATGAGAAGAGAGGAGATGAGGAAGAGGAAGAGGGAGAGACAAAGAGAAATGAAGGAAGATGGTAAATAAAGGACAAATAAATGAGAGTGAGAGAAGGAAATGAAACCATCGTTGTTGCACACGGGATGCAAACAGGACCACAAAACACAAGAACTGAATGTTTATTGAGAAGAAAACGAGTTTAACGTTTCCTGCTGAAAAGATGAGTGCTGCTGCACATGCAAAACTTGCCAACACAATGTTAGAGTGATATGAAAGGTTGCTATGCAGTTGCTAGGGTGGTATGAAAGGCTGGGCAAAGACAAAAGAGTCCACACGCAGGGCTCTATGATATTATGGTCTCTGGATATGACTTAGGTTTCTCATTCCAAATAAAAATGTCATGCGGCAGAGTACATGAGAGTGTACATCTTAATCATTATTTTCTACTTTAAAAAAATATTTTTTTAAATAAATGCATTATTTAAAATAAATAAATAAATATATATATATATATATATGAATTGTTATGCTGTTAAGTTTTTGAGAGTTGCACAACATGACATTTTAAAACTGAACTAAAATTGCCTTGACATAAAGAGATAAAATGATCTGATATTTATCTGAGATGGGTCTGCATGTTGGTAACACCACGTGACTTTGGCCGTCATTGTTTTTCTCATGTTTTTTTTCGTCATTATAATATCAGGACAGTTGTATCACCCTGACATTTTTCCTTTTATTGAATAAAATGAATGAATCTGAATTCAGAAATTAAAACAATGCTTGACTGGCATTTTTAATCTATTTAGAACAAATTAATAAATTTAGACCAAAAAATGAGTGCCATGTCATTGCTTTTCAGCAGTTGTTCTCAACTAGGGGGAATCAGCAAACTTCCAAAAGGGTCTCAAGATGACTTAAAATAAGACAAAAGCATTAAAATAAGCTAAAACAAGATATCCCCCCCTGTCCTCAAATGTGTGTTTGTCTTTAAAAAACTATTATAACTCAACGACAGTGTTATTTTAGCTATCATACTATATTCTTATAGTTTTTATTAATATTTTGAATATTGAATATTTTGAATTCCAATATTTTATTTCTATATTTTATGTTTTCACTGGAAATTTAAATGTAATTAAAAATGTATGTTGGTCTATGTTGGGTCTATGTTGGGTTTTTGTAATTTTTTAAAAGTCTGTTTATTTTATTTTATTAAAATTTTTGGTCAATATTAGTACATTCAGGAATATAAAAAAATAAAAATAAAATAAAATAAATAAAATAAAATAGAGAAATGTGGCCTTGGCATCAACAGTAATGTATGTATTTATTTATTTTTATTTTATGTTTTACTTTTAGTTAGCTAGAATAACCCTGTTCCATGACCATTTTTATATATTTTATTTATATACCTTTTTTCCAGTTTTTCTGATTTTAAATATTTTAAATGGAGAAAATATGAGTAAAAACTTTTTTATAAAAAATGTATATCCATTAAATCGTGAACAACTGGAAAGGTCATGGGGCCTTGAATTATGCTGTGGACAATGGTGGGCCTTGGAATCAAATAAGAGATATGAAGGTCGACTAGAAAAAAGGCTTGTTTCTAACCTGTAAGTATAGAGAAAGGAGGCACGTGTTTGCGGTCTTCTCTGCTGGGTTTGCTGGTATAAGCCGTGTTGTCTGGGGTCTCTATTACTGCCGTCACATTATCATCAGCCACTGGATCTCTGGTTGGCAGCACCTGTGTGTTTTCTTCCTTTAATGTGTGTGTGTTTTTCTCCAGATGATCCTCCGGGACACTAGATGGCACTGTGGAATTTTCTGGCCTCCGGTTTTCTCCTTTCTCTTTCGCCGTTGAATCCGGCGCTGCTGTGGGCGGATCTTTTGTCACGGATCCGTTGGTCTGCTTTTCAACATCGTCTGGAACTCTGGCATCTTTACTCTCGGCACTTTTCTCCTCATCCTCTTCCTCTTCTTCTTCTCCGTTCTTTTCTGCATCCTCATCCTCACCCTTTCCTCCCTTATCTCCTCCGTCGTCAGATCCGTCGTTCTCTGCGGCTGCGGTGGCGTCTGCGTCGGAGGCCGGTGAGGAGGGCGCTTCTGTGGTGGTCACCATGGGTTTGGCTGGGATCTGGCGGCTGGAGGGCGGAGGCCTTGTGGGCCAGACGGAGCTGGGGAAGGAGGAGATGACCCCACCACTGAAACCCAACCCCGCCAGGAGGGTACTGGTCACCACAGACGCCACCGTCGCTTGGCTGCCGCTGGAAGAGGGGCCGATGCCGGTAGCCATTGAAACGAAGGAGAACGGAAGACCAGAGGAAGTCCAAGTGGAGGAGCCGGAGCTGATGGGTGCCATGTCTGCAGAGGATGCTGGGGACACAGTTGGCTAGAGACAGAAACAAATGGCATTTTATTAACATCTACATTGATTCCAAAAGATAAAATCTGTGCACATCATGTAAGTAAAATAGACCTGACATAAGCCGGATGAGGACCAACAGAATAACAGGTTCCAGGCCCTTTTTGAGTCATCTTTTTCATGCATAGCTAAGGATTTGCATTGAGTTCTAATGTGCAATTAATGTATCTAAAATAAATATTAAATAAAAACATTATATATATATAAATATATATATATATATATATATATATATATACACACAAATGATAATTATTATAAAAATATTTGCAATAAATACATTTATATTATTTTATAAGAAATAAAAATAGGCAATAAATAAGGCAAAAAAATAAGGCAATAAAATTTAGAGTAATGTGTTTCAGGCCATTTTTCAAGTAATAAATTGTATATTGTATATTAAAGACTTGTAATAACTGTCATAAACACACACACACAATATATATATATATATATATATATATATATATATATATATATATATATATACACACACATTTGTATTAATTCAAATAATGTAAATTAGAATAAATGTATACATATACTTTCTAAAATAAATAATTATATTTCTATAATTCTACAATAAGTAATAAATAAAATCAATATTTTTAAATCTTTATAATAATAATAATAATATATGTATAATCAATGTACTTTTTATATTATTATTAAAATTAATCTTTGTAATAAATACATTTACATTATTATATAAGAAAAAAAAAAAAAAATCTAATAAGCAGGTATATTTTATACGCAAAGAGACTGTGCTGCCACCTGCTGGACAGATGTAAACTTACCATTCCAGTTTTGACTATTCTTGTGCCCTCAAATATCCTGGTGGTGTTGGCTACCATAACAAAGAAGACAAATATGAGTGAGAGGCAGCACTTTTAAAAGCCACACCTAACCTAGCCTTGTCTGTGTGCAGGTGTAGCCCTGTACCTCTGAAGAGCATGCTCTGGCTGAAGTCACTGCGCTTGTCATTCAAACACACCGCCTGGACGCGGAACAGGTACAGCACATCCGACGACACCGGTGCGATGACGGCCTCCTGAAACACACACACAATGTTACATATACAGTGAACATACAATACGTCACGGACAGATACGCACGCCTCTGAAAAGTCAGTCTGGAAGGGTTATCATCTGAAGCTTCCAGTCAAAACACAAAAGAAGAATGGTAGACACACTTTGAAGTGTGACCTCTCCTGACAGAGGTCTGGAGGATGAAGGTGAACAGCTTGTTCTCTTCTCCTTCACTTGACGGTAACACCTTTCTTCTCAAGTCATTAGCATTGAAAATAGACAGTCTCTATCAGTCTCTCCCTCACATAACATTCATTACCACCTAAAGCACCTCTGAGCTGCTCAGCTGGGACACAAAGGCATTGGGATTCAACGAGAGAGGCGCTGATTTATTTTTAAAGGCTGTTTATATAATGTATGCCTTTATCAATAAATTATTCAACATGATCAGGATCTTTCAGAGAAAATATTAATATGCATTACACTTCAGATTAGTATATAGTCAATGTAAAATTAACTATATCACTGTAAATGTAGTGTGTAATAATATGAGGGGACACGGTATTTAATTTGATTCTTTATTAGCGGTGTTTCCAAAGCATCATTTATTATTTATAACCAGATGAATAATGCTATTTTCTTAAAGAAATGAATACTAATACTCATTCAGCAAGGACAAATTAAATTGATCAAAGGTGACAGTAAAGACACGTACAATGCTACAAAAAAATTCCATTTCAAATAAATGCTGTTTCATATTCATCAAAGAATACTGGTTTTCACAGAAATATGAAGCAGCACAAATGTTTTGATAACTGATAATTGACAACGACAATAATCATAAGTGTTTTTTGAGCAGCAAATCAGCATATTAGAATGATTCCTGAAGGATCATGTGACACTGAAAATTCAGCTTTACCTACATAAATTGCATATAAGTTACATATTAAAATAGAAAAAAAAGTTATTTGAAATTGGAATAACATTTCAGAATATTACTGTTTTTATTGTATTTTTTTTTTTAACAAATCCATGCAGCTTTAGTAAGCAAAAGAGACATAACAAGAAAATCGTCCAGACCACCACATTTTCAACAGAAGTGTATACAGTACTTAATCTTAAAATAAATATGAATAATAAAGGATGAGATAATAAGCAGCTCCTTCACTGAAATGTAGTGAGTTTGACTGCGAATCAAGACTATATTTTAGAGCATAGGCTGGACCCTATAAAATCACTTTTTTCAAATATGCATCATCAAATTAGATTTCAACATTAATGTGAATGGTGCATGGCTGTGCTAAACACCTCCATGATGTGGTTTTTAGGGCGTAAGGTGCTTATGAGTGTTTGTTTGTGGGTGCCTACTGGGCTAAATAAAAAAAATTCAATATTTTAAAATGTGTTCAAAGGAGCGTACTACAGAGTACAATACTTTTACTGGTAGCCGATACTAATAAAAAAATAACACACAAAGGGTAGAGCATATTAAATTAGGCCTCTAGCAACACACTTGATTAACAAATCTACTTTGATGGTCAGATATGGGCACTTTTTAACAACATTTCCTTCATTGCTGCTTGCTTGTCTCAATGGTCTCTGTCTGAACCTCACTCAGGCAGCCTGATTTCGTCTCTGAGAAATGAAGATTCAATACAATTCTAAATATGAGCAATAGCCATTATCATAACTCACTTCACCTCTCCGGGGTCTGCTGAAAAGTGCCGTGATTCTTGAGGGATTTGTAAATCTTACGCTAAGTAAATGGCGTCAGTTCTTCTCCAATCCAACACCTTTCTGATTTATGCGAGTTTGACTCTATTTCATTCTGTAGAAGACCCCAACTCAAATATTACTCTGTGGTGTTGGGTTATTATAAATGAAAAGGAGTAAAAACTCCTTCTCTATTGATCTGGTAAGCAGTCCCTCTAAAATCGAGTCGGTTGCTAATTTGACCCAGATAGCAGCGTCTTGGGACGAGAGAGGAAATAAAAATGGAAATGAAGAACTTAAAAGAAAGGAAAAAGGGAGGAACAAGAAATAAAAAGAGAAAGGAGGGAATGGGGCGGCTCTGATGATTTTCCGAGATGGGATGCCATGCCATTTTCAAAAACTGCACACTGGAATGTATGGGAACAAAATGAACAATAATGACTTCATTTCTTTGTACTGTTCTGTCGCCTCACAACCCCCTATGGACTAGAGAATCGGAAATCTCAGACTGTTATAAATTTCACACCCCACAGAGTGTGCTCGATGGAAAGTCAAGAGAAATGGGTGTAAAATACATCTCCACCTCTTAAACAGTTTTAGTGCATTAGTATTTTCAAATGGTGGGCCCCAAGGTCGGTGTCTACCGCTGCGGCCCCCTGCTGACGACCTAAAATACAGTCTTTATTCACAGTCACACTCACTGCGCTTCTGCAAACATGGATCTGAGGCTCTAGCGGAGGAGAGATTACAGGATATTATCCATGAGCTAGGGGTTTACAGACATGATAACAACATCCTCACATGCCAGTTTGTTTTCCAAGAACAGGCTGCACAAATCTATAAATATATATAAATATATATATATAAAATAGCCTACATTTTGAATTTTTCTTGTTTTTAAGCAATAAGAAGAATATTCTTCTTATATGTGACTCTGGACCACAAAACCAAGTGTCAGATTTTCAAAATTGAGATTTATACATCACCTGAAAGCTGAATAAATAAGCTTAAATAGGATAGTATTTGGTCGAGATACAACTATTTGAAAATCTGGAATCTGAGGGTGCAAAAAAATCTAAATATTGAGAAAATCGCCTTTAAAGTTGTCCAAAAGAAGTCCTTAGCAATGCATATTGCATATTACAAATCAAAAATAAAGTTTTGATATATTTACTGTAGGAAATTTACAAAATATCTTCATGGAACATGATCTTTACTTAATATCCTAATGATTTTTGGCATTAAAGAAAAATCTATAATTTTGACCCACACAATGTATTTTTGGTTATTGCTACACATATACCCCAGCGACTTAAGACTGGTTTTGTGGTCCAGGGTCACATGTCTTTTTTTATTGTTTTTAATTTTACTTGTTTACATGTTATATAATATATATATATACACACACACACACACACACACACACACACACACATACATACGTGTGTGTGTGTGTGTGTGTGTGTGAAAGGATAAAATCTGTTTAACTAGGAAATATGCGACATTATGGAAGTTAAACATGTGGCATATGCTATTTCATGCTGTCTTTTAAGTATAACAGGGATATTTTATCATATCTTAGGGGAGATTTTGTGGTATAGATCAGTGTTTCCCAACCTTTTTTTAGTCGCGGCACCCTTTGGAAATTTTAACAAATTTGTGGCACCCTACAAAATTAATTTTGTCACAATATTTGAATTTCTAACTTCGATATGATAATTTGAAAAGTATAGATATTCGGTACAACAGGGAAGAACTGCAGAATATAATGTCCTACAGAAATTTTTTATATTAAAAAATGTTGTCCATCAATGGTGGCAATCAGTGGGCTAATTTCTATTGAAGAGACCAATTTATATGACAGATTTTAATGTAGGCTTTTATACATATGTAAACATTATTTAATTACCATTATAACTAGCTATCTCACAAATTTTTGCTCACTCAGTGTTTTTTTTATTTTACAGTGGGGTAATTTTGGTGCAGTAGCACGAGATAGCTTGATTTAAAACTTTGAATTGAATAAAAAAATGACAAGTAAGCAGTCAGTAATAAAATAAGAACAAATAAAGAAATTAATAATGATAGCACAAATAAAAAATAACGACAGGCCTCCGAATTAAATAAATTGCTTTTTAGTTTTTCAGGTAGGTCTAACAGTAGGGTTAAGATATTTATCCATTATATATCCAGATATTATCCAAATAATGGTTAGTCCTAGAAAGCTATTATTATCAGAACACGTGAGCATAACATAGCGGTTAGCAGATCAATGAATGAGAGGGCAGCGTTACCAGAGTTGCCCATAGGCTATACCACACCATGTTACAACACAGTAGGGCTATTGCAGACAGAAACAATACTGTACTAGGCCTACATCGATGTTTCCTGTCGGCTCGATTTTTGAGTGGACTTTGCTGTTCCGATTCGCATGAACGGTATACGAGTGGAGCGACTGAGCGGAGCACACACACGCATAGAGCGGGATAATACGCAGAGCGTCACACCACGTGAAAGTGAAATCTGAGCGGTGAACTCATTTTCGGCAGCCGAAATTTCGGTGCATCTCTAATTATTGGCGACATCAGAAGTGGATATTATATAATAGATGCTTTTTTGAACATTTTAGCAATTTAAAAATATTAAAAAATGATTTTTTACACGGCACCCCTGCTCTCGACAGACGGCACCCCGGTTGGGAAACACTGGTATAGATGACCAACAAACACGATAATGTCTTCCAATGAATATTCAGTTTTTACATTTCATAACCCACTTTATGAATGTTCAGTGTGATGCAAATTCAATTTAATGCTGTCTTTAAAGACACATATTTAATCATCTATTGGGTTTACTGTGAGATATATTGGTAAAGATTATCAGCAAAAAACAAAAAACACACACTTATTTGAGTTTTAAGTATAAGACAAATAAGACAAATACCTTATCATTCGTAGGAATTATTGTGAGATATTGTTATATGGATGACCATTACACACATTCCTCACCAGTTTCTGATCACTCCCTTTGACGTATGTCTCCTCATATGACTCGTCGTTTCTGGTCCAGCTGTAGGAAATGTGGTAGCTGATGATGGGTGGATCGTAGGTGATCTCCGGACGGGACCATCGAACGAAAAGCGCCGTCTTGTTCATGTGCTGGACGTTCATGTTGATCGGGGCACTGCTGCATGCTGCGTGAAAGACAGAAAAAAACTAAATGTGTGTTTACCTCTTTGCCACCACTCTAACCTTGAGCTCCATTAGTGCCCTTAGATCCCACAGCCACTAGATGGCTCTGTTAGACCATTGACTACATCTACTCGGCTTTCACGTGTCCTGAATTGTGTCATGCCCTCTGTAAACACCAGCAGCATCCAAGTTGCTGTTAATCTCCCCAGCAGAAGGTGTATAATCACCGAGCGTGCCACAGTTTCTGCCGGCTGACAGTGTGCGTAGGGGTGAGCTTCTATTCGTAGAGAAATCTGACAGAAGAAGCCCTAAATTTTCTTTAGTTTTGGTCTTCCTAAAATGCATGCAACATAGACAAACACACACACCTTCACACACACACACACACACACACACACAACACACTCCCTCCCACAGCCACAGGGG